GCGGTAGAGACGCGCGCGGTGCGTTTTGCGACTCGCCTTCCTCCGCGGTTCGTGGAGTTCGCCGCCATCTGATTCGAGTCGGCGATTGTCTCGTGTTTTGCGCTGCGTATGCCGTTTCATTTGTACTTGTTCAGTTTGTACTGCCGCGTTTGTGTTTTAGTGTGTCTTGTTTTGCGCTACCTGTGTGGTTTCGTTTTGTACTCGTTCATTTTTATCGGCTGCCTCATTTGTTTGTCTGTACAGTAGAGCTGCGACAACCGGGTGATTACATTAATTAATCATTATCTAAAAATTGCAAATCGACTTTTTTTTGTGATCGATTTCTCGGGCCTCTTTTGACATTTTCCCTCCTGATGAAGGTAGAAACCCCCAACAAGCTACGCCCAACATGATGCGGCTGACACACTGATGGTGTCATGAGCCCCGCCCATCACCTCCCATCCAGCGACACGCTTTGGAACATTATTGAGACTTTTCCAACTTATTTTGCATTATCCCAAAAGTAATCTACTTGATAATCTCCCGAGGAATCGATTTTTTTATATTTTGGCATCTCACCTCTACTGTACAGTTTCAACCTCTATCTCGTTTGTACCGTCTTGTAATTCTGTACTGATGCTTTTGTGCTGTCCGTTTAATCCGTGCTGTCCTTATTTGCTTTACCGTTTCGTCTGTTCTGTCTCATAACTGCCTCATTCATATTTTCCCTGCTCTGTTCCGTCGCTACGGTCCTGTTTGTACCATCTGTTGTTATATTTTTTGTCTTCTTCTTTCTCAGTACAAGCCGCATGCACCCAAAAACAATTGAACCTTACGCGCACAAATTTGTGCATTTTTGCGATCGTAAGGTTTGGGAGATACATTTTTCTTACAAGGGAACATTTTTTGTGGCAACTATTGCAGTTGACAGTTGTGGGTAACGGTTGCCCTTAAAATTTCCCAAGTGTCTCAGGGCCTTGAAGGGTGCCACTGCTTGTGCACAGCAAAGTGGGGCTTGACAGTACTCCCATAATTCGTGACCTTACTGGACCCAATGATGGAGTTTTCATTCAAAGGTCACTTCTGATATATTTCCCGTCATAGTTTTCAGCCCTTATGCCATTCCACCGCTGGATGAAGGCCTCTCCATACCCCCGTCGGTTATGAGAGTTGTGAAAGGGGGCAACAGGGATGGGTTCAGATATTGCACTCGCCACCGATGTTAGCCGTGACCAGAAGTCAAACTCGGATGACCGGCTTCATAGCGCAGCCTGCTAAGCGTTGTGCCAGCGCACCCACCCCCACCTCTCTTTTATCACACATAATTCAATAAGCGTAGCAATGGCATTTAACGAATGTGATTCCCATACCTGTTTTCGTTCAGTAAATTGTTTTTGGCGGCAGCAATCAAAACTTCCACCGTGGAGGCGTTTTGCAAAACGTATCGTCGATTGTGACAATTTGTTTTGTAGGGGGTAACTATTATCTTGGTGATTTGTTTTTTGTTGTTATTGTCATGGCTATTACGAGAGGACGTCTGGTGATGGTGGCTTTTGGACGGGGTCTGCAGTTTGCCGTTGGAAAGCGCTTATCGGTTACTTAAACTCGCATTGCGATGCCGGCCAATCTTAAAATGCGCTCAGAGTTAACGTCCGTCGGACGATTTGAAAGGGCTTGTGTAAATTTGCAGAAAGCACCAGACTCCCCTACAGCTCACCCATATCACAGCAGCCCAATTGGATGAAGGTCTCCCCCCATACCTTACAGTCATGGGTGGTGTTTGACCATACTTCATCATGCTGGTCAGTGTGGGTTGGTGAAGGGGGGTGCCCAGGTTCAGTTAAAAATACCACTCGCCACTACCGTGAGCCCGTGGCTGGGAATCAAACTCAGGTTGATGGGTTCATAACTCAGGGCACTTCACCAATGCACCAACTCTCCTGTGTCGGTGCGTCTGCAGATTTCTATACAGACTCGGTTCTTGTGTTCTGTGCATTCATTTTGACATGTTTTGACTGCCCTGCAATTTCAACTTACGTACCCCATTCGCTCAATCCCCCTCCCCTCCCCCCGACATCCCACCAATTAACCAATCACAATTGTTCACAAATTCGTTGCCGTTTTGGGTTTTTGGAGTTTGGAGGCATGATTTAATTTGGTCAACATACAAGCAGACGATACAAGTACCCATAATAGCTTAATGCAACACAAGCGTCATTGACAGTCGGTCCACCATTTGTAATACAGTCTACATATATACAAAGATCCCCTGTATAGCCTGCGTCGGCTGTTGGGGAAAGTGCACACGTGTACGTAATGCGAGGTGTATCGATTCATCCATCCCCACGACGATTTCATGAATTCAGGATTTAGGGGTTGCCATTCGAGTCCACATTTTGTTTAAGATTATGGTGAATGTGTGGCCTCTAGTGGCTGCAGGAGTCATGTGACCCCTATACTATACAATGCAACATAAAATCGATATTACTCAAGTAATAAGTGTATCCTTACACCCCTAGTTTATTCATGCTACACCCAACATGCCACATTCTATCGCGCGTGTATATTTTTGATGTGTGTGGGGTAACAAAGGGAAATGCGTATATATATTAGAGCTACTAATTTGTATTATAATACTGACAGGCTTTCTCTGCTGGTACGTGAGTTCGATGCATACCTTTTGGGATATTGAATATTTTGTAATACTGTATTGAGCCTTTATAGAACTGTCTCATGGCACAAATAAATGCAGTTGTTTCTAAATGCGTTGGTTCTTATAAAAGATGCTTCAAACCAAATACTCAGATTAATATATATTTTAAAATATTAAAAAATGATGTTTGGACCAGTCTATGTCTCAGGGCCCACTTGGCCACGACAATACGTGCTTAATATTTTTTTAAATGAAGTGCGTTACATGTAATCGTCACCTGATATTTCTTCAGGCTGTCGCTTTGAATCAAAAGTGAAATTGCCTGTTGTAAAATTCACTTGAATAAGGACCCTGTGGACATTGTTGACAAGAGTGGGCCATCGTGTGCTTGTGAGCTGTTGTAAGTTGAAAACTTTGAAAAAAATGTTCCTCTGCTAAATAAACTGCAAAAAGTAAAAGGCTGTCCTAAAATGTATATTCCACCTCCATCGCAGGCCTTGGTGGAATGCCACTGTCTATGAGGGCAGTATGCAAAGTTTTCAGCCGAACACATTCAGTACAAAATACATGCATGATTTTTCAGAATGGTCACCCTCTCTCACTGTGCATTTTGCCTATCGTTCTTGAAGCTTTTCATTATTCTCCACCTCCGGTGATTCTCAACCTGCGGTCCGTGCACCTCCCGGTGGGCCGCAAGGAAGTGGCCAAAATAATCAATGCAGGTGCAGCAGTTTTTTTCACGAAACAAAATATTTTTACTGCCTATTTCACAACCAGCCAACACAAAAGCAAATTGATCGTTTTTATGGCATTTTAATAAACATTTCACAGCAGTTTTTTCAAGTACAGTACTGTAATTTTCATCTTGAAAAGTTGTTTTATGGGTGCATGGCGGTCCAGTGATCCACGGTCCGGAGAGTTTTGGAAACCACTGCTCTCAACAATTTCCACGCCGCAGGTGCTCCTCCAGGTTCAGAAACCGGTGGATGCCACTGGGAGTCACGTTCGGAGAATAGGCAGTACAGGAGAAAAACACATTATCCGCAGTGAGATTGGACGAACCGATATCGCGGGTTCCATTATTCTCACGGGGTTATCTGCAATTGTACACCTCTTATCCATCCGTACATTACGGGTAAAATGACGAATGGAAGTCACCGGTGATATATGGCCGCGGATATCACTGGTCAACAAAAAAAAACTTTTTTCTGGCCTGGACTTTTGCAACTGTTTTAGACTAATTTCAGGGTGCTGATTCCAAATTTGATCTCAGATTTGCTCTATCACATCTCATTTTTATGCTATCGGCATACCCCATTTTCATTGATTTTACCATAAATTAACTCTCACTTATGATTGCAAGTTGTTGCGAGTCAGTGACTGCTTTAGTGTTAAAATATGGTGCTGTATTTTTAGGATAGTGTGTTTATAATATAATTTTATGTAGATATCCACATTGATTTAATATTTTTCTTCTGCAGTTTTTATTGAAAATTCAATATTTGATATCTCAAAAACCCGATGTGATAGACACAAACTGATGCCAGATTTCGAATCGGCACCCCAAAATTACATTAGAACCGTTGGAATACCTTATGCCAGAAAAAGTGTGTTGACCAGTGTATTAGGAGTCCTGTATGCGGGAGTTCCTCCAAGTGGCATTCCCTGATGGCCATCAGCATTTGCGACTCCTCTCACGCAGGTGAGTTGATTATATCTTGTCTCTTGTCATCTCATTGAAGTGGGTGGGGGAGTGGCAAAAGTAATTTCTGCTCGGGGCCTCCATTGGTTTCAACAGAAACACAGCCTTGCACGATGTGCAAAAACCACCAGTTCCCGAAGAACTGCACCGTGGCGTGCCGTCGCACGCGTATCGCTGAGATTAGGGCCCCCCGTTTCGTGAACTCCGGGGGCCAATTGTCCCTTGCCAAAGCAGGGCGCAACAAGAACAATACGAAAAGAAACCCCGCCAACTCACGCGGCCACAATGCGACACTGTGTAATCTTACACGAGTGAATGCCAAAACGTGAAACACAAAGCGGTGCGCGTACAAACAGCGCGGGAGAGCGACACCGCCATTGGAACGCTGCGTGACCGTTAGCGGAGCCCTTTCAACGACGACAACAACAACACAAAAGTCGCACTCTCCTTTCCATCGCACAAAATCCCACATCGCTAGGCGAGTTAACAAAAAAAAACGGGCGCAGCGACAAAGAGAAACAAAGGCGATCAGAACAACCCCCCACCAATAAATCACTGTCGGCCACAAAGAAGAGAGAAAAGCCTGCCAGGAGACGTTGAACTCTCGTCTCAAGTGTCGACGAGTATCGGGTTGCGGCGCGAAGCGAATAAATGCAGGAGCTTCGAGCTCGTGGTTGAGCATCATCGCCTTCCGAGCCCGAGGTGTCAGTGCGACCTTGCCTAGGAGCAATCCTATCGACTGCTTTTTATTCTTCCTCTCCGGCAGCCTTAACGCCTCGACCGATCATGATGGTCGCTCACACCAGGAGCCTGCTGATGGCTCTGTGTGCGGTGGTCCTGGCGACGGCTCAGGGACCTCCTCCACAAGGTGATCCACTCTAACGCAATTTAATCCACGCGTGTGTGTGTGTGCGTGTGTCCGGAGGGCAGAGGAGCGACGCTCACGGCAACGAGCGGAGCGCCGGGTGGGTAAAGCGCAGCAAGTTGGCACAGTTAGCGGGCACAGGTGGTGCATCGGTCAGTCATCTCGGTCAGGCGGACCCGTGGCACCTACTGGGTCTCATTGCTCTCATGGCTTTATTTTGGTGATTTCGAAAAGTGTTTTGGTTTAGCCATGTTTGTTTGTTGTAGTACAGAGTTAGACTGATGGCCTTAATCTAAGTTGTCTTGTGGTTGTTATTGGTTGTTTGACTTGCATCCCACTGGGATTTTTGCACACAGCGTTGGTGTACGGTGTTTTTTCTGCAATATTTTGCTGTCTTTTCTTGGATTTTCCATTTGCACTCATTCACATATTCACTTGAATGTTTTTTGTTCATGTTTTAGTTTTTTTTGTTTGTTGCGGTTGCACCCGATTCAAGAGCCGAATGGCTCACAGGGCTATACCTAATAAATGAACTTGAACTGTCCGTGACCTCCTGCCGGCGGGCGTTCGACACTTCACGTGGCCTTAACGTGCACATAGCCTGGCACAAGCGCCGTGTTGATGTCACCGCCACTTAGTGGCGAATGGCGTTGTTGTTGTGGAGTGGTAGTTGCAGCGCTTCTTGCAGCGTGACACCAACGCCAGTGACGATTATCTTCACTGGCCCTGGGCCTCCCATAGGTCGACTCGGCCTCAAATGAGTACTTCGTACGGAAGTGTAAATATCGGTACTTTGGGAGACAAAGGCGGCCAGGCATGGTGCTGGCAACACACCACCGCTGTTCGTGTGCCGTGCCGACTTTGATAGGTGGTCGCTCATAGCACTTGTCCAAGAAGGATGTTTCGGCTTGACAGGGAGTCTGACTTTGTACAGGTGTGGGTCGTGGTGACGCAGTCGCTCGCCCCGTGTGATTGACTGAGAATTGCCATGCTGGTTAGTACGCGTGTTCTCTCTTTCAGGAGGGCCTTGCCATGTTTTTCGCAGCAGGGAAACGCAATTTTGCGGGTTTATTCTTTCAGATTTTGACCATGAATCCGGCCTGTTGTGACGTCACGCGCTATGTAACGCCCACTTACGAAGCAGTCGACGTGTCGTATCTTTTATGGTTAATACTTCCGCAATGTTTAAACAATGTTTTATTTTACCAGGTAATATCCACTGAGATGTATAGCTCTTTTTCAGAAGCGACCTGGTGCCAAATGATAGCTCAACGAAATGCCCTATCATCATGTGGAAATTTAGATTGATCAAATACTCAAAACGCGTGTTTCTAAATGTGGAATCGAACAAAATTGGAGGACCCGGAGAAACATCCACGCCACCACGGGCAAAACATGCAAATGCAAATATACAGGCGTCAGGGTCAGGAACGAACTCACGACTAGCGGCGTACCAGGCGAGGCAGACAACATCTCGCCGCCATGGCGCTCATATTAATGAGGGCGGCCGCTGCGAATGGAACCGTGAAACCTCAGAATTCTTTGGTGGGAATTTCACGGCAACGATTGCCGTCATAAGCTGACAGTTCCCACCGACTTTTCCCGGTGTCGTAATGGTTGATGGCCTTTACGTGCGTAGTTTCGATTCACGTGTCCGCGAATAATCCCTCTCCGTCATATTTTCGGGTGAACACGTGCCGACTTCTCACCATCACGGACGACGACGATGGCCACCAGCTGCTGTTGCTACTTTTTTTTAAAATCCTTTATATTAAGTTCGCTTGCTTGCGCGCTTACGACCGTGCAAATCTTTCGGTCGTTTTTTAACCCACTTCCCGTGATCCAATCGAGCTGACATTTTCCACATAGACTCGTTGTGCGTGACAATTAATTTTCGTGAAAAATGTTTGCCAAATTTTACACTTTTTAGGAATTTTTTTTTATATTTAATTACCAATTGCTTAATGCTGCCAGGCAATCATCTGACCCATAGGTGGCAGCCATCTCAAGCCAGAGGATGAGAGGACTCTAGCCGCCACGCATATAAAGGATTTATAGTGAAAAACTTTGTTTTTACGGGTTAATTTTTTTGTTGTGACTCCACTTGTTTATCCAGGAATGCCCCATCGAGTCTCTTTCGCAGTCGGGGGCGATGCCGCTTCGTGTAATCCCACTTGAGTAATTAGCCAGTAATTTTTTGAAGCATTGGGATGTTTGACCAATATCAATTAAATTTCGATTTAAAGCTTTCGTGACTGCAGGGATTCATCTTCTTGGTTCTTTCGGTAAAGTCACGTAGAAGGGAAATAATAAAATAATGAAATATAAAACATTATCTTTAAATAAAACATAATTTTGTTATGTTTTATTTATTAGTATTTTATTATTTCCCTTCTACGTGACTTTACCGAAAGAACCAAGAAGACAATATCAATTACATTGATTGAAATATATATATACATATGTATCTATATTTATGAAGAAGGACCGTGACCCAAAACGTGACCTATTGTATTTTGTTGTCCTATTCGGGCAGTGTTATTGACCACTGTGTTGAGTTTATGTTACGTGTGATTATACACCACTTCCCACGCAGTATAACGAAAAGTTTGTGTTTGGTTGTGGAGATCACAGGAATTTGGAGAATTCCAACTCAGGCCACATTGTGCCCTACGTGGTCTTGCATTGCTGCCCTTGAACCTGCCACGAGTGACAAAATAAATACCTGTCCATCCACATGAAACGTTAAAAAGTTACTTTATATACATCCCATCCATGTGACACTGCCTTCTGGGAGTGTATACTTTCAGCTGCATTGCTCTATTACATGAAAATCTTGGACTGCTTTTGACATCCAGTGTCTTATTGCGACAGGTGTAGCATTTATTTTATTCTGCCGCAAATCTGCCGTAAAATGATCAAATTCAGTCGGTGTGAGACAAGAAATATTTTCATCAACGCGAGATTGATGCCCTCTGTACAAATACTACTTTGCGGTTAACAACATTTGGTGCCGCCGTGCTCGCGGGTGTGCGTGCGTGCGCGTGTATGTGCGTGCGTGCAACATACACCTGGTTCTGATCCTCCTCTAGCTCAACTCGGCACGAAATAAGTACCGTACTGCTTGTCCTCCCACAGCGATTCCCGGCAGCGTGCCGTCCGGCAGCACGCCGCCAGCAGCACCGCATCAGCAGCAGCCCCCGGCCAACGGACAACAGGCCATGGACGCGTTCCACCAGATGATGAATCTGGGCCAAGGAGGCCAGTTCCTCGACCTCAATGCTATGCTTAAGCACCACGCGGCCGCTATGTCGCAGCTGCTCCAGACGGGCAGCCTGCCCTGCCCTCCTCCCGCCATGTGGGACTTCGCCTCCGCCCATCTCCAGCGTTGCGCTCAGGGTGGTGGGCCCCCGATGCCCATCCAGATGAATCTGGGCCAAGGAATCCAGAACCTCGACCTCAATGCCATGCTGCAGCACCACGCGGCCGCTATGTCGCAGCTGCTCCAGACGGGCAGCCTGCCCTGCCCTCCTCCCGCCATGTGGGCCTTCATCTCCGCCCATCTCCAGCGTTGCACTCGGGGCGGTGGGTCCCCGATGCCCGTCCAGCAACTGCCCGTGCGAGGGTTTCCGTTATTCTCGCCGCCACAGATTCCAATCCATTTGCCTAATATCCCAATGATGCCGCTTGACCCAAATTTCCCACGTATGCCGAATATGAATCTCCGCTTCCGGCGCAGCCCAATCCGCGGTGCTGGACCCGATTCGGTGTCACCACGTCCTGACAATCAGGAAGGGCCTAAGCAGGAAGGGCCCAAGCAGGAGAAGCCTAAGAACCCGATCAGTGACAAAGGAGGGCCGGGAGACCACATGCATCCCATTCCAGCTTAGGGTGGTGAAGGGGACCTTTTTGGGGCCAGTAGATACGTGAAGCCATCAACCCAGCAGTGCAGCCGCCCACGGTGAGGTAGAACATTCATCAGATAATGTCCAAGATTTGGCAAGGACAAGCTTCCATGACCCACCGACTGTCCAAATGTTAAGCATTTTAAATAAATTATGCAGTAAATGATTATTATTAATTATAATAATGATGCCAATTATTTAGGAAAGCATCAATGAGTTTGGCCAGTAATTTTACGGATATTTTACAGATTGGAGGAAACCAGGGTCAGCTACTGGGGCACGGTGCAAGTGGCTCAATGGTTAACCCACTGAGCTATGAACCAATTGATCTGATTTTGATTCCTGGCCTTGACTAACCTCAGTGGCGAGTGATATCTGAATCGGTCTTGCCAACCCCCTCCCTGACCTCGTTACTCGTCCCTGCCATGGGGCGATGTTGCAGGCAGTAGAGGGCCGTGCAGCAAGATCCACTGTTGTATCGTGATTCTATGCTCCCATATCTGGTGCATTCACCAACCCACACTGAGCAGTGCGGTGAAGTATAGTAAACACACGAAACCCACGATAGACATTGTGTGGGAAGGAGGCCTTTATTCATCAGTGGCTTGACAAACGGCCGTACATTCTTATTATTATTATTAATAATGATTATATTTTATTGAATTTGCAGCAACTGAAAAATAACTAAATTTTCGATTTAGAAAACTATAAATCTCTCATCTGGTCTGGTTGCACTGGCTGTTTACATAGCTCGTAATATAAAACTACTCGCTTTTGTTTAACATTTTCAATTCTGTTACAAGATTCAATTACGTCACGTACACAGTGATTGGGAGAGCGTACAACCACCTACGTACACCAACACAAACATACCCAAGTACCTACTCACTGGCTTACCGTCGTCGAGTTCTGTCTCTGTTTTATTCTCGTGTGGGGCGGGGGGGGGAGCAGCGTGGGTGCGTTTTGTAACCCCTTCGTTAATAAATAGTTATGCAATGCAACCACGTGTGTCGGTTTTTTTTTTGTTTCACACTCACGGTGAAGCCAATAAAATGGCATTGGCCGTGCTTCCGATAATAACCATCATCATCATAAATAACATCCCTTTTATAGTAATAGGTTTTTACCCTATCAACTGGTACAAAACTGACACCTTTATACAAGGCATCATGTTTGCAATAACCACAACATAAGCAGTCAAAATGAAAAAAAAAGAAACAACTCTGATAATGATATGCACTGTCCTTGAAGTTGATTGGTCCACAATTTTGACCGCTTGTGTTGTGGTTATTGCAAACATGATGCCTTGTATAAAGGTGTCAGTTTTGTACCAATTGAAAGGGTTCAAACCTATTACTATAGTTTGCCACTGGTAAAGGAGATGTCTCATAGTGTAAACATCCCTTTTGTCTGGGAACTGCTGGGTGGGGGCCGCCACGCATGCCGTGTCAAGTCATGGCGGTTGTTTTTCACCATATTTCACCTACACCGGCCAGAAGGCAGGTGGGCCAGGTGAAGAAGGCAAGAGGGCCCGGGACCGGTTCAGATCGCGCCCGCCACTGACGTTAGCCATCAGTGGCAGGAATCGAACTCAGGTGGCTGGGTTCCTGGCGATACCGACCACCCTTTAATCAAGAAGAAGGATACAGTACTGATAATGACGGAAATTATGTATTCAGAAGTGACGCAGCACCAGCTGAACTGATAACACCGAGATTTCGGGTTCGAATCCAGGCACCAGGAAGCTGCTTGTGTGAGTAGATTTCATTCTCAGGCGTTGCGAGTTGAATGGGCTCAGCCCAGTCACCGATTACGCACGAGAAGCCATTACGGGGATAGGGTAAGCAATTTGGCCGTTCGGCGCAGAGACCAAACACGAACGGACACTCTTTATAGACAACAAAAAAAACCAAAACGTCTCTTCCGGAAGCGATGACACCATCATGTGTGTAACGTGCAGAGCGCGTGGCACGCGACATCTCTCAACGCACGCCACGCATCGCTCGTTCGGTCTCGGCCATCGAGTGGCGTTGGCGAGCGCCGTGCAGCGTGTTCGTCTCGCGTTGCAGAGGTTCACGGCTTGAACCCGACGCGGCCGCCCCGGTCATGTTAACGCGGGTGCATTCACCGTACGGCAATACGCGCCGTCTGCTTGCAAGGGCGACTCGGCCGGCAGACAGCATCGAAGCATTCGCGGTGGACGTTAAGGAGCCCTTGTGGCGTCCTACGCAAACAGTAGGCCATGGCCTGCCGCCGGCGTCAGAGTACTGATTTTGTCAAATTCGAAACTTACACGCAAAGTGTTTAATCAATTTGGATTATGCACAGCAGCAATTGTCCCCCTCCTCCCCCCCCCCAACCGCCTACTGGTGGACTCATGCCTCAGGTCACCCTGGAAAATGGGACTTATCCTGGGTCGCCTTGAATTCTTACCTGGTCACTCGAAATACATTCTAGATTTGAAGCTTTCGTGACTGCAAGGATTCATACTCTTAGGTTTTTTCGGTAAAGTCACGTAGGCAATAAATAAATAAATACTAAAATTATATAAATAATAATAGAAATAAAATAATAAATCACGACGTTTCGGGCGCAACACAAGCATCCGTCATCAGGTGGGACAACCAACGCCCACTTCAGCAATTGTTTCTTGCTGTGGTTGTCCCACCTGATGACGGACGCTTGTGTTGCGCCCGAAACGTCGTGAATTATTATTTTATTTCTATTATAATTTCTATCATTTTATTATTTATTTTTATTTTTTTACCTACGTGACTTTACTGAAAAAACCTAAGAGTACTCGAAATACACTTGAATCACAATACAGGCAGACTTCGCTTCGCGCTCAAGACGCGTTCCTGGATAAGTGAGCACGAATCGAAACAAGGATCAAAGGGCGGCGGTGGTGGCGATCATCTCCCATCCAAATCGCTAACCAGGCTCAAATTCCCCTGCTGAGCTTCCAAGATCTCACGCGATGACTGCGCATCCTGTTGGATGTGGTCATCGTTTCCCTATCTGCTCTTGACGATCAGCAACGACAAAATAAATAAAAACCGCACTGGAATGTGGAACGAAACGTCAATGACAGCAGTTCGCGTCCGCGGAGAAATATTCATTCCGGTCATTCGTTCATTTCACCAGTTGCAGAAAGCTGTGGGTGGCGGCTTGCTATTTTAAGAATCAATCTCGCAATCGCAGCACACGGCTGGCATTCCGCGTTCTGGTGTCGCACACGCAGTCACTTGCTCGAGCCCTTCTTGAGCACGGCCTCGCGTTGCCCTCTCTCTCTCGAGCCGGTGACGTCGCACGGGTCACAGCAGAATTTCCTTTTTTTAACATCACGTGCGGGCAACGTTGATCTGCGTAACCGTGAACCCGCTTCACACCGAGATTCAATGCCTCTTTTGCAATCGTGAACCGAGTCACCCCCCACACACACAACACCAACACCAACAGATGATCTGCTTTAGTGAAGATCTGGAGCGTTGCTTAATCATCAGTCATGGTCAACCCACTGCTGGATGATGACATCTGCAAGCCGCCGCCGCCGCCACCTCTCGTCACGATCATGGAATGTAGTGATGATGATAATAATCCACCTGCACATTGTCGATCTGCAACATGAACTGATTTCGTCGCTCCATCTCTTTGGACGGCTTCATTCCTTGCCATTGATTGCGGCTATCATAATTTTATTTATATTTATTCAAAATATATACGTGCTGTATAGGAGGAAAAAAACCCGTTCATTATTGAAATCTGTCCCTTCCGTCAGCTCATTTTGGGACAGTGGCGACTGAATGGAATTTCAACAACGATGTTCTTACTCTTTGGTTCTTTCGGTAAAGTCACGTAGGTATAAAATCAAATTAATCACGACGTTTCGGGCGCAACACAAGCGTCCATCATCAGGTGGGAAAGCGATGTTCTTCCTTCACGTGGTCTCACTGCTTCGCTCCACCCTTACTCATCCTTCGTTGAGTTTCATCCGAGCACGAGTTTTCATCTCGGAACGCAAGCGGCTGAGAGCGGCATGGCGTGGTGTGCTTGGCCCGGGGGCTCTGACGAAGCGAACGCAATGCTCCGTCCACTGCACTCATGTCCTCCTCAATACATATTGAGCTGGAGTGGCAGAATATTTTTTGTTCAACATGTTAGACTTCATGACAGAATTGGAAGAAAAAAAAAGTTTCGATGAATCGAATGTGCTAAATGATGCAAAGCCAAAGATGATGAAACGAATCAAAGGTTGCATTATCCATGAGCGGTTATTGGGTTAGATCGCGTAAATATGAATGTGTCGTTAAACCCTTCACCACCCGACACAGCTAATTAGTAAGGGTTGTCACGTAAACAGAACATGCCAATTCGTCACTAGTAGAGCACTAGTGTGTTGGAGAGCACAACACACCGATGTACGCGTTCAACGACACATTTATATATTTACGCAATTTGACCCAAAAAACCGGTACTGTATTATGGATAAAATCGGTAGAGCAATTGTCCTGTTTCGGTCTTAAATAGAGAAATAAATGTGATGTCGACATTTGTGAGACAATGCGGTGCGGAGACCAGATGTGGCGGGTTAATGTATGAATATAAATTACGATGGATATCCATCATCGGTTTAATGTTAGGTTAGAAACACGTTGTCCATGCTCTCCAGCTACCTGGGTGAAAAGTGGAGGGTGAAGTTTTGATAAATCCTGGCCCAGCTGGCTCAAAACTTTATAAACTGAACTAACATCAGCAATGTAGTTCAGGAGGTTATGACATTTAGGCTGATTCTAAGCAGCAGTTTCACATGCCCAGAGAAGCAGAATGAGTAAATGCACGTGAACACTTTGAGTATTGAGATAACTCTAATGTTGTAATGAAAGTGGGGGAAGGGGGGGGGGGGCGAGGTAACATTTCAAGCAGATGATGACATTGGAATGTTGCAAAAATGAGGATGTTCATAGTAAGCTATAGAAAAGCTGAACACAGTGTGCAATAAACAGGCAGCTTTAAAACTGGCAGCAGTAATAATAGTACTACGTATGAATATTGTGTTTTATTTACGGGTGGGACAATGCGTGTGTAGTGCTGGGGGCTCTGGGACCCTAGACATCCCAGACGCTTAAGCCCATTGGCGCCAGGCGCTGGGACCCTAGGCACCCCAGCCAGTTAAGCCCCTTAGCGCCACCAACGGGGGGGGGGGGGGGGCTGTGTGTGCTCTGTGGGATATCTGGGGGTGGACACAACCCCACCCCTCGTTGGGGACGAGGCATAAAAGGGCAGCTCCCTGGCCGATCAGGGCCAGTTGTAGCTCAAGACCCAAGACCCAAGACCAGCCATCTCAGGACCCTGGGACGCTGTGAGGGCCAGTGGTGGGACTCTGGAACTCCCGGCTCTACGTCCTTGTGAGGGCGAGTTCCAGAGCGTAGCCAGAGTAGTGTATCTAGGTTGTGTACCTAGGCTGTGTACCTAGGCTGTAACAGAGTATCAGGACTGTTGGAGTGTTGTTGGATTGTAATAAAGAAGTTGCCTCTACAAGTGTGTCCGGAACCCATTACACGTGGATTCATTCATGTGTATTCTTACGTTCACGAGAGATGGAAGCATCGAATCACGTGGGGTGATAAAAACATCAAATCGACGTTCGTCTACACGTTAAGGATTATGCAATGGATTCACCCTGCATCCGATAGAAGCATTCCCATTCGTATACCGTATTATTGGATATTTTTTGCCAGTATCAAAGTGTAGAGGAGTAAAATGGGGACGTGACGTCATGTGTGCCGTTCAGTGCGATGACGTCACGAGTATTTAAGGGAGACCCCGTGAAGAAAACGGGGTCACTGTGGGAACGAGTAGAGTGAGAAGGGTAGAGAGGGAACCAGGGTGTAGAGGGATGAAGTCGTGAGTCTGGAAGGACGCCGGTGGTAGCCGATAGAGATGCTTCTCACTCCGGTCGGTGGAGTTCCCCGAGCCGACACCCCTGGGAGTTGTGTACCCTTATGTTATATTGTAACATCTTTAATAAACCTTTGGCGAAAGCCCATAACCTTACCTCCATCTCCGAGTGCGTCCTGAGAACTCCTCAACAAAAGTATGAAACATAAGAATAGGTGTTGCCCTTTCTGGCAATAAAACAGGTTTTAAGATGTTCAAACACTGAATAGAAACCCTTTGCGAGGAATGAAGTCTACATTAACTACACGCGGCACGTGAGGTGTTTTGTTTCCATGTTCACCACAAGTACGGTGTGAGTGGTTAATGCAGACATGATTCCTTGCAAAATGTTTCTATTTGGTGTTTGAACATCTTAACAACAGTTCTATTGCCAGAGAAGGTGAAACCTATTCTCATTTTTCATACACCGTATCGTGGCTATCGCTTTGTTATTTTATTTCCTGGAACAAACCAAAAAAAATATTTAAAAATACTTTTAAAAAAACACGCTTTAATGAAATGTACTGTCCGAGCTGCCCCTCCCCCTGCCCCCTTCCACCATCGCCCCTCCCCTCCTTCCACATGCCCCGCCCCTCGGCGTGGCTCCTTGAGGCTTGCCGTGACGTAAGGGACCACGTGGTGATTTACAGGCAACGTGAGTTGAGCGTCGACAATTAGAGCCGGAAACGTGGACAATTAGAGCCGTAAAAAAGATTGTTTAAAAATATATATAAATATAATTTTCAATGATAGAATATAGTATTGTCATCAGTATGACATACCTATACCAAGTTTGCAGTCGATACGACATTGGGAAGACGGTTGAAATTGAGTTACACGATTTTAGGATACGACAACACAGAGTAAGTTAAATAGAAGAGTGTAAAATGTTTAAAAATCTATGTTTTGGATTTTGTATGATATAGTATAGTCTTGTCATCAATATGACATAGGCATTTCAAGTTTGCAGTCGATAGCACATTGGGAGGTGGGTAAGAATTGAGTTACAATATTTATTTTTTGAGGATACAACAGACGGAGTGAGTTAAATAAAAGCGTGTAAAATAAAAAAAAGTAGCTGAACGCATGAACAAACACAGACAATTGAAGGTTCTAAATGGACATCTATCGCTCACTAAATGATCGCCAGTTGCGAAACGGGGTTCGGAGCAATTGTCGGCGCGCTGCTCACGTGGCGACGACATCATCATCCAACTCCACGTGGCGACTAAAGCGGGTACCGTGTTGTGGGCGCTGACAGCGCGAGAGCGTCGTGAGCGTCATTGATTGATTGCGAGGAGCCTCGATAATCATCGAGCTGATGCCGAGTGCACTGCGGTATTTTTTGTGTGTGTGTCTCACTTGATGGCAGGTGGCACACACGCGTATACGCGCAATCGTATGCAAATTCGCATTGCAATGCGACAAAACTGATGCGCCGGATAATTTTGTAGACGCGACATCGCGCGTACTATTGTGCCAGGGCTCAAACGAGATCACGGCAGCCTCCAACCACCTTCAGTCTCCCTTCGCTGGTTTTACGCAACGGGCGGTACAATAGAGTTGCACAATCGACCGCAGTGCCCGATGCAAGCGCGCCGTCTCTCCTCACCTTGACCGACAGCCCCCAGCACCCCACCCAGCAGCATGTGCCCAGAATACACACACACACACACAGCCCAGGTGTCTGTGAAGAACACACCTGAATGAATGAATGAATGGGGGCAGGTTTTGCGCAGCCGGCCCTCTATAAAGCGGCCAGTCTGCCTGGATGGAGAACATCAAAAGCCGGCAGCTGCCTCTGTAACCACGTGGACTCAAGATACCGCAGCGCTCGTGTTCACGCTCGCCGTCTGCTCAGCTAAAGTCATGGCTACTGCTGCTGCTGCTGCCCGTGCCCTTCCCGTGGTTATCATCGCCGCCTTCCTCTCATCCTCCACTCTGGTTTCGTGCGCTCCTCTTCCCGGCGCCAACGGTGAGCGAGCGGTTCGCGAAAGATCACAGGCGGCTCAACGTTTTGCATTGCCGAGGGCTGCAGAGGGACCTTCACACGCAGCTGTGGCGGGCAGTGAACGCATTAATGCCCACGCAATATGTAAACACGCTTACGTATCGTAGTAGTAATACTTTCAACTTGTGAGGCGCCGCACCGGATTCGCTCTCGTTGAGAGAGGGAACGACAAACAGGGACGACAGCCACGTGCTGAGCCCGGCGCCAACGATTCTCCAAGCTCTGCTGTCCTCTATTAATGAAGATGGTTATAGGCCAATGAACGAGTGGAAAACGCACGCGTGCGAGGGGCGGAGAAAACACTGTAATCTCATATAGACGGAACACGTGGAATCCACATTTTTGCTTTCCAGAACAGTATTGCATTCTCCTGGCGAGCCAGGGTACGTGCGGCTCCCCTTCGACGCTCACGGGACCGGGTTTTCACAACTTTTGCGCGGTGATCCGCCAACCCTCGCTGCATCCACAGTGCTGGATCGCATGCCGCGCAGAGAGCCAACACCGCCCGGCTAATGCCGCGATCACTACCATTACTGCAAGAGGGCCCTTGCGGTTACACACGGTGACTGAGCGCGCTAGAAATACACATTACGCTGTGTATGCTTCCAGGTTAAACATACTCTCCCTTCAGTGCCAGATTAATGCGGGTTGAGATGTCGATCGATCCGTGCTGCGCGCAGTGACACCGCGTTGTTAAGTGTCACCTCGATTGTGCGGTGTTTGTGATGTCGATCGATCCGTGCTGCGCTTTTAGTGACCGCCAACTCCTCGGACCCGCTGCTGAGCGCATTGGAGTCGCTCCGCGCGGCGCTTGGAAACGGATCTCTGAGCGCCCTGGGGGTCGTGCAGCTACTCAACAAATGCGGGGCGTCGGACCTTGCGTCCCCTGCGCTGCTCCAAGTTGCCAGCAACTCCAGCCTGGGTAACGCACGCGCGCGCGCACGCAGCGACGTCGCAGGCGATTGCAGCTTGCACACTCCGGGAGGGGGTGGGGGGCGCTAATTGTGAAACTGCTCTCAGCCACCGGACATCATAGAACTCAACAAAGACACCCATAGACCCACGTGGAGACCCACATGCTCGTATCGAAACTCGAAAACTCGCGTATAAATCCATATGCGTATGTAAAAAACCCCAATATTTAAATATTTAGCCAAATATTACCATAAACTCGCAAATATACCCATATACTTACATATTGACCCATAGATTCGCACAGAGAGCCATATGGCGACGTAGCTATCAGATGTGCAGGCGGTGCAACTGCACAGGGACCGAAGGGGCTCAGTTCCCGGGCGACGAAGAGCGGGGGGGGGGGGGGGGTGATTGAATTCCTCGCTTCACGTCTCACGCAGCTAAGCACGCGACACCATTGCACGTGTCGCTGTGTGTGGGGAGCGGTAGTGTGGTGGTTAGCGCTACGCTGCGCTACGAACCTGGTGACCCGGGTTCGATTCCCGCTCATGGCCAACATCAGTGACGATTATCTGAACCGGTCCTGGGCCTCCCCTAGGTCGACTCAGCCTCAAATGAATACCTGGTGCGATGTGTAAACATCGCCACTGGGGAGACAAAGGCGGCCGGGCGTGGTGTTGCCGTGCCGGCCTTCATAGGTGCTCGCTAACAGCACTTGCCCCTACAGTCTGTTAAGGCTATACGGGGGATCTCTGCTTTTTGGGGGTGGTCGTGTGCACGCTACAAACCCGGCGATCCGAGTTCGATTCCCGCTCACGACGGCCAACACCCGTGACGGTTATCTGAACTGGTCCCGGACCTCCCCTAGGTCGTCTCAGCCTCAAATGAGTACCTGGTTGCGATGTGCCTTCATAGGTGTTCACTAACAGCACTTGCCCCAAACGTATGTCAAGGCTATGCGGGGGATATTTGAATTTGTGTGCGAGTATGTATCTGTGTGGGTGCCTGTGTGTGTATGACCTTCATAGGTGTTCGCTAACAGCACTTGCCTCAACTGTCTGTTAAGGCGATAGAGAGATGTTTGTCTTTGTGTGTGTGAGTGTGTATAAGTTGCGATTATCTTAACAAGACCTGGGCTTCTCCTAGGTCGACTCAGCCTCATATGAGTACCTGGTTCGGCGTGTGAACATTCGCATTGAGGAGACGAAGACGGCCCGGCGTGATTGTGGCCACACCACCATCTCGTTCGCCGTGCCAGCCTTCGTAGGATTGCTTAACAGCACTTGCCCCAACAGTCCACGCGAGGCTATCCGGTGGATCTTTGTCTTGTGTATGTTCGCGTGCATGCATGCACCTGTTAATGTATCTCACCTTGGTGTTACAGATCAGTGGCCCGCGACGATGTCAGAGGTCGTTGCCAAGGTCCAGAAGACGTTCAACGTGACCAGCCAGGACATTTTGTCCTGGGTCTCCAAGGTCCTGCAGCTCTGCTCTCCGTCAGCGGCGGCGGGGTCGACTGCTGCTCCTGGAAGCCAGAACCCCAGTGTAGCTTCCCCTTCAGCCGGTCAGAAACCCAGTGTAGCTTCCCCTTCAGCCGGTCAGAACCCCAGTGTAGCTTCCCCTTCAGCCGGTCAGAACCCCAGTGTAGCTTCCCCTTCAGCCGGTCAGAACCCCAGTGTAGCTTCCCCTTCAGCCGGTCAGAACCCCAGTGTAGCTTCCCCTTCAGCCGGTCAGAACCCCAGTGTAGCTTCCCTTTCAGCTGGTCAGAAACCCAGTGTAGCTTCCCCTTCAGCTGGTCAGAACCCCAGTGTAGCTTCCCCTTCAGCTGGTCAGAACCCCAGTGTAGCTTCCCCTTCAGCCGGTCAGAACCCCAGTGGAGCTTCCCCTTCAGCTGGTCAGAAACCCAGTGTAGCTTCCCCTTCAGCTGGTCAGAACCCCAGTGTAGCTTCCCCTTCAGCCGGTCAGAACCCCAGTGTAGCTTCCCCTTCAGCTGGTCAGAAACCCAGTGTAGCTTCCCCTTCAGCCGGTCAGAACCCCAGTGTAGCTTCCCCTTCAGCCGGTCAGAACCCCAGTGTAGCTTCCCCTTCAGCCGGTCAGAAACCCAGTGTAGCTTCCCCTTCAGCCGGTCAGAAACCCAGTGTAGCTTCCCCTTCAGCCGGTCAGAACCCCAGTGTACCTTCCCCTTCAGCCGGTCAGAACCCCAGTGTAGCTTCCCCTTCAGCCGGTCAGAACCCCAGTGTAGCTTCCCCTTCAGCCGGTCAGAACCCCAGTGTAGCTTCCCCTTCAGCCGGTCAGAAACCCAGTGTAGCTTCCCCTTCAGCTGGTCAGAACCCCAGTGTAGCTTCCCCTTCAGCCGGTCAGAAACCCAGTGTAGCTTCCCCTTCAGCTGGTCAGAAACCCAGTGTAGCTTCCCCTTCAGCCGGTCAGAAACCCAGTGTAGCTTCCCCTTCAGCTGGTCAGAAACCCAGTGTAGCTTCCCCTTCAGCCGGTCAGAACCCCAGTGTAGCTTCCCCTTCAGCCGGTCAGAACCCCAGTGTAGCTTCCCCTTCAGCCGGCCAGAAACCCAGTGTAGCTTCCCCTTCAGCCGGTCAGAACCCCAGTGTAGCTTCCCCTTCGGCCGGTCAGAACCCCAGTGTAGCTTCCCCTTCAGCCGGTCAGAAACCCAGTGTAGCTTCCCCTTCAGCCGGTCAGAACCCCAGTGGAACTTCCCCTTCAGCCGGTCAGAAACCCAGTGTAGCTTCCCCTTCAGCCGGTCAGAACCCCAGTGGAGCTTCCCCTTCAGCCGGTCAGAAACCCAGTGGAGCTTCCCCTTCAGCCGGTCAGAACCCCAGCGGAGCTTCCCCTTCAGCCGGCCAGAAACCCAAAAGCGCTTCCCCTTCAGCCGGCCAGAACCCCAGCGGAGCTTCCCCTTCAGCCGGCCAGAAACCCAGTGGAGCTTCCCCTTCAGCTGGTCAGAACCCCAGTGGAGCTTCCCCTTCAGCCGGCCAGAAACCCAAAAGCGCTTCCCCTTCAGCCGGCCAGAACCCCAGCGGAGCTTCCCCTTCAGCCGGCCAGAACCCCAGTAGAGTGCCCCCATCAGGGAGTCAGAACTCGAGTGCCAGACCTGCTTCAGTCAGGCAGAAACCCAAGGAGAAAGATCAGAAGGAAGACGAGGGGTCCAAGGAGGAGAAAGACGATAAAAAAGAGCCCAAGAAGGAAGAGAGTAAGAAAGATGACAAGTCTTCTAAGAGAGACGAGCCCAAGAAGGAGCAAAAAGCGCCCTCTCGCAATGGGAATTAAATACTCTCGCTGGGTATTTAAGGAGTAACAGACGGGCAAACAAAAAGTTGGTAGGCAAACCGTCAGCCAGTCAAACAGGCAGATAACCAAAGCTACGAGCTGTTGCACCGTCAGACAGACAAATACATATATTAACAATATATGAACAAACCTGAGGAAGGACTTAAGAGTGGGCATATATTTTCTAGTAGCACCCACGTGTCCCAACAAGGTGGTGGGTTGCTTTCGTGTTCATTACGCTTCGTGTTTCATTTGCTGCCGTGCAGAGGCCTACCTTGGGCCCTGTGAAGGAATCACCCCGATATCTTGGGCAAGGCCTAGGCTAAAGAAATTCTCATGGCTACTGCCTGCAGCAGTGTGTGAACCCGATGGGTTCCGTGCCTCGACCAATGGCTAGACCTGGCGGTGGTTGGTGTCTTAATGGATAGATTGCGGGCCCTGGACATTCGCTGGCATCTGATGAGTCTGGAGTCGCTGGTTCGAATCTGGCCCTCTCACTTGAATAGCTTAATTCAGCTGCTGGGACAACGGTGTCGGATCCACCAATCTTACTAAGCCGAGGCTACTGGGTGGTAAGTAAAGCAGTGTTTAGATACTGCTGTCCCTAACCCCTTTAAACTGACCCCTAAACTTTAATCCCTAATCACTAACACTTGGCCGTAAACCCTAACCCCACCCCTCTAACCCATAGTTTCTAACCGTTCACATTACCTCCTAACTTTACACCTGAACGCCTAGCTCTTTACGTGACCCTAAATCATATTTTGTGACCTTATACCCTACCTTCTAACTCAACGCCCTAAACCTCAACCGGGGAGGGGGGGGGGAACTCACACCTTGTGCCCCCTCCTGACGCCTTCAAACTAAACCGGAACTATTACATCTGACACCGAAACGTCGAAGTGCCCCCCCCCCCAAAGCGCGGGGCCCGGGGTAGTCACCACGATTCGCTGAACCCTAGGGACGGCTCTGCCTGCAAGAAACCCAACGGAGTGGCGTCCCTTCACATTCAAACGCCTTCGGAAGAGTCTGGATCCTCTCCTCTGAGTGCCACACTCTCGGTGTCTATGGGCAGAAGCGTTGGTCGCTACCAGCCTTGTGACAGGAGTCGCGCTTTGCTTTGCTCAAAATTTACCTCGTGTCCCGACAGCGAATGCCTTTGGAATGTAGACGGTTCGCAATCTCTGTCCGCAAGGGCTGCTTCCTTCAAGCAGCTTTGATTAAAGTGGCGTGCTTACGAAACGTGTGCGGCGACGAAAGTCCTTTGTTGTTTTGTCTGTTTAACGGTGACTGTGTCGACAAGTTCTGCCAACGCGAATGATTAAACACTGATGGACATGGCCTCGCTGAGCCCCGCGTCTCTCTCCTGCCCGCACGTTGCACACCCGAACGAGGTTTAGCGTCACGATGGGTTTGTTTTTTAGACGTGGCACAGGAGATTCGTCGTTTCGTCCAACACTTGCGCCTCCAAACAACTCACACCGTGCACTCAACATCAGAATCCGAATATTGATGTGTACTGGAGGAATCGCATGAGCTATAAGGCTCTTTTTCACGTGGCGCTAAGCTGAATCGAAGCCAGGGGTTGGTCGTGGAACCTCTTCCTTACCGAGGGCCGAATAGCACTTTCAGCTCCCAATCTGCGGGCAACCACATGTAATGCGAGCAAGGATTGAGGGGGGGCGGAGTCTGGGTCACGTGGGGAGGGGGTGGAGTTAGGGTCACGTGGGAGAGAGGATTTAGGGGGAGAACCGGAAGGGGAAAGTGGAGTTGAGATGGAGTGAAACAGGAGGCCACGCTGGGCAGGACGGAGAGAGTGGCGCGGTCGCCACGCGGTGGGAGACGTCGACACCGTCAGCCATCGGTGTCAGACGCAGAGAGCTAGCGGCTGTGGGAGGCTAGCTGTATACGGGGCAGCAGTGAAGCTCGAGAGCGGAGCAGCGGTGTGGCTGCAAGGTGGAGCAGCAGGGAGACTGCCTAACAGAGCAGCAGGGAGACTGCATATCGGAGCAGCAGGGAGACTGCATATCGGAGCAGCAGGGAGACTGTATAACGGAGCAGCCGAGTGGCTGTGGAGAGATCGTCGAGAGGGACGCGGGCCTGAGCGAGGACGCCGTGGTAACGAGATTCTACGAACCCAATAAAGGACAACGGAGATCGACATCTGAGAGAGAGTCCTTTATTACACACACATTGCCACACACCGCAGCGTTACGCAATAATAGCGCGAGTAAGAATGCGCGCTCACCGTTATAGGTGACAGGGCGGGATACACTTAGAAACACAGTGGCACCGGCCATGGTGGCGAGATGTTAACTACCTCGCCTGGTATACAGGAGGTCGTGAGTTCGTTCCTTACCCTGACGGCTGCTGTATATTTGGATGTGCATGCTTTCCCCCGTGGTCGTGTGGATTTTCCTCCGGGTCCTCCGGATTTTTACCTCCACATTTATAAACGTGCGTTTTGAGTATTCGGCCGCTATACATTTTCACATGATAAGCCACTTTATGTGAGCTCTAATTTGTTGGCCAGGTCGCTTCTAAGAAATAGCTTTATAGATCATTGGGCCTTACCTGGTAAAATAACAAAAATGTTTATAGTTTTTAGTGCAGCTCAGAAGTTTGGGCAGTGGTTTTGAAGATCGGCTGTGACATGGATAACAGGGGTGGGGGGGGGGGTGGAGGGAGAGGGAAAATGCGTGAGACCGTCAACACATTACCGGGCGATTCATCATCACCATCATCATGATCATCGTGAGCCAAGGTCAATCCACTGCTGGATGAGGGCCTCCCCACACCATCTCTCACGCGGCACACGCACGCAAATGTATTTGGGGGTCCTTACAGCTGCCGCATTGGCAGTGATGCACAAGCACAGGTAACACCAAGAACAAAAAAACAAACGCATTCATCAATACCGCTGTGGCCTTAAAAGGACACGTGTATGTATGGCATATATACTAGGCGACGTTTCGGACAACGGCTCTTCTACATAGCACATTGATTCGTTGCTTTTAAACTAGCTCACACAATATCACTCGTTAAGCATGTGAGTAGGTAGTGGGTATGCAAAATGTTACTTTGACGTAGCATTGGAGGTGTGTAATTATATCTGTCCTACACGTATGTGACAGCACAGCAAGTCGGTTACTACCAGGCTACCCGTTTAAGTTGCCGAATACTGTATTGCAAATATAACATGAAAAATAACAATAGGTTTTATACCCTTTCCAGCAATAAAGCAGGTGTTAAGATGTTCAAACACCAAATGGATACATTTTGAAAGGAATCAAGTCTGCATTAACCACACGTACTTGTGGTGAACATGCAAACAAACATGCTCTGATAATTATATATGCATTGACTTTGATACTGATTGGCCTGCACCAGAGACGACAGCCTTCTTTATGGCCTAGTCTCACCAGTGTCAGACCAGAGAACGCCAAAAGGCGAACAGCACAAAGACACACCAAATGTAATGGGCTCGAATTAGGCGCACACACAACTTCTTGGGAGGCAACACTAGTTATTATCTCAATGTAACACTTTAACATAGCGTGGTGACCACCGACATATTGTCGCTAACACACACCATCACTCGCTAACACTGACTCTCGGATAGGACTGGCGTGACCCAGCCAGGAGGGCTACGCTGACTGGAGGCTTGACTCTTCTTCTCGAGGTGTCTTCAGGAGGCATCTTCTTCCTTGACACGAGCAGCCTCGAACCCGGTGAGGAGGCCGCTTATATGCGCCGGCCACGCCCACCTTCTCGAGAACTCTCGAGAAGGTGGGCGTGGCCTCGGCGTGTCCGGGCCACACCCTGGCCACGCCCACCTTCGAGAACTCTCAAGAAGGTGGGCGTGGCCTCGGCGTGTCCGGACCCCACCCTGGCCACGCCCACCTTCGAGAACTCTCGAGAAGGTGGGCGTGGCCTCGGCGTGTCCGGGCCACACCCCGACCACGCCCACCTTCTAGAACTCTCGAGAGGGTGGGCGTGGCCTCGGCGTGTCTGGACCACACCCTGGCCACGCCCACCTTCGAGAACTCTGGAGAAGGTGGGCGTGGCCTCGGCGTGTCCGGGGCCACACCCTGGCCACGCCCACCTTCGAGAACTCTCGAGAAGGTGGGCGTGGCCTCGGCGTGTCCGGGCCACACCCCGACCACGCCCACCTTCTAGAACTCTCGAGAGGGTGGGCGTGGCCTCGGCGTGTCTGGACCACACCCTGGCCACGCCCACCTTCGAGAACTCTGGAGAAGGTGGGCGTGGCCTCGGCGTGTCCGGGGCCACACCCTGGCCACGCCCACCTTCGAGAACTCTCGAGAAGGTGGGCGTGGCCTCGGCGTGTCCGGGCCACACCCTGGCCACGCCCACCTTCGAGAACTCTCGAGAAGCTGCTCGGCTGTCCACGTGGCCCCCCAAGGTGGCCCCGGGGCCCCCGACCCCCACCGTGATCCGGTCACGTGTCCAGCCGGGTTCACTCAGAGTGCCACGGCCTTACACAACCCACGTGGCCCTCACCCCCGGCCTCCAGATACCCTGAACCGGCCCTGACGTCATTCCCGCTTCCAGACGGGATGACGTCATGTGTGTGTGTGTAGACCCGCGTGCTAGTGACGCTCCCCCGCATAGTGACGTCACACATGTGCGTGTGTGTGTGTGTACACCAGAGGTGTGGACTCGAGTCATGTGACTTGGACTCGAGTCAGACTCGAGTCATGAATTTGATGACTTCAGACTCGACTTGGACTTGCATAACAATGACTTTGTCCCACCTCTGGTGTACACAGTAGTGACGCTACAAGTCACTACACATGTAATCAGAGCGTGTATAGAGCTCGGGGCGAGCACTTGTATCATGGGGACCATATTGTGTCAACACTTGCATGCAACGCGCAGAGCGAAGCGTGTTGGTCAGTAGAGGGCAGTACAGCAAGCGTGTTGCTGGCTCACCACACTACTTGCACCGCCTGGATAGTTTACGATGCATGTTGAACTTC